ATTTTGAATGTTGTTAAAGTAATGTAAATTGTGTTTAGGAAAGTTGTTAATTGTTTCTTTAATAATTTGGTATATTGAATAGGTAGTTGTCTTTAGAATGTTATTGTTAATGGGGCAAGTCCAAATGTGATTGATAGTTTCTTCTGTAATGTTGCAATGTAGACAAAGATTGTTTGAGTATAGATGAGATTTGGTGATATGTAGGTGAGATTTGGTAGGAAGACTTTGTGAGATAATTTTGAGATGGAAGTTGTAAATGGCAGATTCAGAAGTGTTTGTAAGAATTGGTATTGATTTGAGGAATTTTAGAATATAAAAAAGATTTTAAAAGTTGAGTTGAAAAATTGTTTGAATTCTTTTTGAATTTAATATGTTGAAAGTTCTATAAAGATGATTAATTTTTTTTGTTTATTTGTGAATAAGAGGAAGTGGTAATCTGGAATAGTATATTAAAGTATATTGGAATGGTTATAAATTAAAAAGTAAGTTTATTCGAGTGGTTATGTTGTTATGTTGTGGTGGTGAATTACAAGGTGGTTTGTAGAAAGTATAATAGGTTTGTAAAAATTGAATTGTTTGTTTTAGATTGTTAATTATATCTTTGTATAGTGTTTTGCAGTTGGTATGGTGGTTTTTTGAATTGAAAGAGAATATAGTTTTGCTTATTTTGTAGTTTTTTGAAAAAAAGATTGCTATTGTTAAAAGATTCATAATGAGAATTGTTTGGATAGTAAGAAAAAGAGATAGGATTGAATTGTATGGAAGTTCACATATATAAGTTGTTATTTCAGAGAGATCAGTCTATTTAATGTTGATTTTGTTTTGATTTATTTCAATTGAGAGATAAAAGAATTTTTCATTTGTTTTGATTGAGCAGTTAGGAATTAAGTTCTGGTGTGATTGTGATTGAAGGTTTTTTTAATGAGAAATTTTTATGGTGTTGATGGGATGAAGATAATGGGAATATTATAAGTGGGTGAAGGGATTTTATATTTAGTTGAATTGATTATATCTCTAAGAGTGGAATGGGTTTTATATGACTTTTGTTGAATAGAAGTATGAAGTGAAATAGAGTTTGTTTTGTTTATTTGGAGTTGACAAGAGTGTAAGATAGAAGTTTGGTTGAAGGAACAGCCAGTACATTTGATAAGAGTTAGAGATCTGTCAAAATTGTTCACTAGGGGGTATAGGTAATAATTAATAATAATTTTGTTTTTTGAAATAGTTTTTTGTTTTTTTCCAATTATAGTTGTGTTGGATATTTCAATTGTTTCCCAGTTTCTTTTTTTGTTTTTTTGATAATTGTTATTAATTTCATAATATTAATTTATATAATATAAAAAATATTTAATAAATTTTTTATAGTCAAAATTTTTTTTGAATTTTATAATTAATTTCAAATTCCAAATTTTTAAAATTTTTAATAATAAAATAATTCGAAATTTATATATAAAAAAAGTTTATAAATTATAGGGTTCTCTTTGTTTTTTTTTTTTAATCCTGCAATCAGATTGGTGTCATTTATTTATTAAATAATAAAGAACTATTATACATATAAGAATATATGCAAAGTACAAATTTCCTTGACCCAACTCATCTGTCTTTAGCTGAAGCCTCTAGATGTGATTTATGAGATGATGTATTGTTCCTCTAAAGAATGTGATTAAGATCTTGAACTTTTGATAGGATCAACACCTGCAGATTATCTTCACAATCACAATCATAAATTCAAATTGTATTACCCCCTCTTGTAGAAATTACACAAAGGGAAAAAGAAATAAAAAAGGATTTTTTTGACAAAGAGAAAAGAAAAAAAAAGCTATTATCTATTTTAACTATCCTTGAAAAGGTTATCTCAGTAAACTTAAAATCCAAGCCCCTAATAGTTTTTCACTTCTTATCACCTGTGGCCAGTCAAACTGTTTAATTTCCAATAGAGTAATCAATGTTCAAGAATGTTTAAGGACACTTTCAGAAGAGTATTTCTTGAAACTTTATGCTTAAAAACTTCTAATCAGAAAAGATATTGGTTTTCTATAGTTGATTTCTCTCCCAAGTCATGTCTTCTAGAATTATAGCTTTACTCAATCAGTGGATAGTTTCAAAATCACTTTCTTCAACCATTTTCAGGATATATATCAGTATTTCAACTTGTTACCAGATTGGAATAGGACCTAAATCTTGTTGCTACTTCCTGTCCTTAAGAAAGAATAGGAAAAAAAAAAGAAAATAAAAGGATGGGAACAAAAAGGGGTTGCTTCTCTTCTTCTCACAACTTCAACTTAAAACTGTTCAACTTTTTCAAAAACCAATTACATCATCGGTTTGGTGTTGTATAACTGGGAACATATGAGAAGTATATGTCTTGTTTACTTTTTCTGTAGTTGACGAGATCAACCAATTCATGACCTTGACCAATCATCTTTCAAGAAATCTGGTGTAACCAAAAAATCCAGAGTCAAACTGAGGTAGGCAAAATTCTTTAGAAAAATCAGAAAAAAGAAAGTACACTTGAGAAAAAAGAAGTAGGAAGCCAAAGAGATAATGGAAAGATTGAAAACTTCTTTATTATTGTTTCTTTGGATTCTTGAATATTTTGGGGGTCTTTGGAGTATATTTTTTTTTATCAGTTTTCTTCCTGTAAAGGTGTTTTTGCCATAGATCTTTTAGGTGGGTTTCTTGTATTTAGTTACAAAAATAAATAAGAAAAGTGTTTTGAAAAAGAAAAATAAAACAAGTAATAGCTTTTGCTTGCTCAGTTGGTTAAAACCAGTATTGTTTTTAAGGAAAGTGTATAGACTTTATTATCATAAAGACAAAAAATCTTTTGAGAATGTCTGTTTTTTGGATTGGCAAAAGGATCAGTAGAAAGAGTTTTTTTAAATAAATAGTTATTGAATTATAATAAAAAATATTAGTCCAAAAACTTTTGCACTATATTGCAATTAATTATTACTATTATTTTTTAATTATCTCTAATTTTGACTATTTTTATAATTTTTAATTATATTGTTACATTTAATTTTTACTCAAGATTTATATAATTTCTTGTTTTATTTTTACTAGCAATTATTTATAAAATAACTTCACTTCTAGAAAAGTTCTTGTATTACTGATTTATTGTTACAATTTTATTTATAAACTTCATATTTCTCATATTTCTTAATCTAAAATATTCTTTTTATTATTATTATCATTATCATTATTATATTTATCTTTACTAGAATATTTATTTTTATTCCTGTTAACATATTTAACTATTTTGATAAAGCCAATATTTTTCTATAACTTAATTAATTCTATAATTTATATTTATCATATATGAAAATATTATATTTTAAACATATATTGTATATAAAGTTTTCAATTTTGCATAGAAATTAGTAGAATTGAACTTTTATTTTATTAAATAAATAAATTAATCTTTATAAAACAAATCATTATTATTTCTTTTACTTAATCTTATAAATTTCAGAACTGTATTAATTTTGGTACACTTTAGAAACTTCAGTATATTATATTAATTCTTTTAAATAAAATATCTTTCTACTATTGGTTCTTTGTCTTTATTTTTCTCATGAGATAGAAATGATATATGACAATATAAATTAATAAAGCATATAATTAGTATATTTAAATTATTAAAATAACAAACAATTTTAATTATAAAAATAATTCATAAATAAATAATTATTTTTAATATATTGTTTTAATTTTTTATATATGCAACTCGAAAATTAACATATAATTATATATTGTAACTTTATACTATTTGATTGAATAAATAAAAATATTTGACAAAATTCTTAATTATCACAAAATTGGTAATCAAAATCTTTTTCTAGATTTTAATTAAAGTTGTTTAGCAAATAAAAATACTATTAGTCTATTATTAATGAATTAATGTATTTAATTAATATTTAATGTAAAATTTTTTTGTTTTGAAAAAATTAAACTTTTAGATTTAATAGCATAAATTAGAAATTTTTTTGAATAATTAAATTGTTGAAATAAAACATAATAATTTTAAAGATGAAAAAATACAATATTTTTATTATTTATCATTTTTTTTAAAAAATATATATTTGAAAATAAATTATATAAAAAAATTTTATTAAAACCTTTTTAGCAAGGTGTATATTTAATATATACAGTATAATAATAATAATCGTATTAATACATTTACACTGAATAAATCGTCAAATATAATTTAATAATGTTATCATAATCAAGAAATTAATTATTTGCATAAGTTATAAATCGCATGCAATGTAATATTTAATTTAGGATACTGTATTTGTTAAGTACATCAGAACATTTTATTTGATGAATAGTAAAGGTTAACATCTTGAAATATTTGTTAGCAATATAGTATTTTATCGGCAAGGCGGATATTCACATATTTTATTGTAAATGTATTAAATTTGTTGGATTTTTATTCCAATTGCCTTTTAAATCGATAAAATTAATTAAACAATCAAAAGTAGCGACATTTCTATGTCGAATTTGCTGACGTGCCGCTGCTTACATAAAACAATTGTGATCGGTCATCTGAGTACAAATAATGTATCACATTCTATCACATTCATAAAAGTTTATACTATCATTGGAATCAATCAGCAAAAACAGAAACACTGTTTCCATCCATAATATTAAAATCACGTGAAAATTTGCATAAAAAGTTTCATACACAGCCACATTCTAATGTCGCAGTGCGTGGTAATATTTTATTATTTCTGTTTTAGGTCATACGGATATGAACAAAAAACCAGTTTTTGATAATTTAAAAACTTTATTATTATGGTATCCAACAAACAAGGAAGAATAACAAGCTTTGTGAATAAGTCACCATTAAAGAGAATCTCACACGTACGCGTGTACGCAAATATTTGATCATATGACCAAAAAATATTTATATAAAAATAATAAGTTTATGACATTGTGATAATGGTTAGTGGTTCTTTTCTTTTCTTTCTTTTCTTCTTTCTTCACTCTAAAAGATGCTCTCAAACAAGATTCATCAAACTGAAGACGATCACAAAAAATGGCTTGATGATGCTATTAAAAAAGGAACAATCATTAAATATGATTTTAGCACATTTAGGGTCATCAAAAGTATTGGACAAGGGTCGTTTGGAAAAGTTTTTCGCGCATCGTCTTCCCAATTTGAAAATCCCGTAGCTTTAAAGGCAATCCCGATTAACGATCGTTTTAATATCGAACTACTAGTAAACGAGGTTTTGTCATCTACGATTAGTATTGTGTGAAAGAAATTTTTCGAAATAAACTAACCTTATCGCGCTTTCATATACATCGCAGCTCAAACAACACAACAAAATCGCATCGCATAAGAATATCTTAAAATTTTATGGAATAACAATAGATGGTTTGCATGCTTTTATATTTCGTTAATGCCTTTCCCTTGCGTTTATATTAATTTCTTTGCATTAACTGCCTTTCAGAATCAAAAGAGCCCCCTACATTTATTCTTGTTATAGAGTATGCCAACAATGATACACTAAGATCATTTTTGAAACAAAGATTCGACGAATTAAATTGGGATTGTAAACTTTCCCTTGCACAACAATTAGCGAACGCCATAATGTTTTTACACTCGCATGAGATAATTCACAGAGATTTGGTAATATTATTTACTCAATTAACTTAACTTCCACGGTTATTGCCAAGTTTATTTTTAACTATAATTCTTTTTTTAGCATTCGGAAAATGTGCTTATTCATGATGGCATTATAAAGCTTAGTGACTTTGGTAATGCGAAACTGATTTCAGAACCGTCAATTCAATTAGCTAAAGTAATTGGATCTATAAAGTATTCGGATCCCGAGTTCCTTAAACGTAATCCCAATTATAGCAGGTCAAAGGGATCCGATATTTACAGTTTGGGAATACTCTTATGGGAAATATCAAGTGGCCGCGAACCATTTATTATCGGATCGTCATTACTCTCTCTATACCATGCCATTATTACTGGCTTAAGGGAAACGCCTGTTTCTGGAACACCGGTTGATTACGTAAACATCTATAAAGGTGATCAATTATTTTTAAATTCATGATAGAACGCGACAATTTGCGATCCATTTCATTTCGCTAAAAACGCAATATGTACTTGATTAGAATGTTGGGAATTATCTCCGGGTCGACGACCAACTATCGAAAAAGTTGTCGAAGTTCTAGAAAATGTCAACTTAGATCGAGTAATATCTGAGGAGGAAATCGATAATTTGTACTTTTCCAGTGGTGTTGGTGGAAAACAATCAGGGATCCATAGTGATTTAAGTGATAGAACTAGCAGCTCAGATTCAGATGAGTTTTTTCAGCAGCGGTTAGATGAAATCGAAGAAACTTGCACTGATTTGGGCATGCCCTTCAAATTTTCCGTCGGATCTGACATCTACCAAAAATTGTCATCTTTCAGAGAATTGGATTCCATCATCGTCGACCCAGAAATTATCGGACACATAAATAACAATATAAAGGACACCATCAATAAACAATTCTTTCAGCAATTATTACAACTTTTCGTGAAACGATTAAAAGATTCCGCTGAGCCCAAAATGCTTGTTAAACACATTGACGATTTCATAGATCAACATGACAAAGACCGTGAGAAATTATTTAAAAGGTTATTGACACTTGAGGAACATCCAACATTTTCATGTTTGATTGGTTTTTTTTATGGATACGGAATATGCTGCGTTGATAGCAATCACAATGCCTTCAAAATGTACAACAAAGCCATAAGAAATATAACAGAAAAATCCTCCTTGGGCCAACTCGGCAGGGTTAAGAAGGCAACAAAAGCTTTTGCATATAATGAACTTGGTTATTATTATCAATATGGAATCGAAACCACGAAAGACGAGCGGTGTGCATTTGATTTTTACACAAAATCTGCAGAAGGTGGGAATTCTAATGGTCAGCGTAATCTTGGAAATTGTTATAAAAATGGAATTGGTACTACGAAAGATTATAAAAAGGCATTTCAATTGTTTCTGAAATCAGCAGAAGGTGGGAATTTTATGGGTCAAAATGACCTTGGGAATTGCTATCGTTTTGGAACCGGTATAGACGTAAATGAGGAAAAAGCATTTAAATGGTACGAGAAGTCCGCCGAAGGTGGAAACCTTTGCGGGCAATATAATCTTGGACACTGTTATCGAAAAGGAATAAATGTCTCTATAGATCAACTGAAAGCGTTTCAGTGGTACAGGAAATCTGCCAAAGGAGGGGAGTCTAATGGTCAATATTGGCTTGGATATTGTTATCAAAACGGAATTGGAACCGGAAAAGATACGAACAAAGCTTTTAATTGGTATAGAAAATCTGCTGAAGAAGGGAATCCTTGTGGTCAATGTTATCTTGGATATTGCTACAAGAATGGAATTGGCATCTCTATGGATATTCGGGAAGCATTTAAGTGGTTCATGAAATCTGCCGAAGGGGGTGATTCCATGGGCCAATGTGAGCTCGGATGTTTATATGAAGAGGGAATAGGTGGAATTACCAGAGATGAGAAAAAAGCATTTAGTTATTATACGAAATCCGCTGAGGGAGGATGTACCAATGGCCAATATAGACTTGCGAAATGTTATAAAAACGGGATTGGCACCACAAAAGACGTGGAAAAGGCAGAAAAATGGTACAAAATATCTGCAAATAGAGAACATTCAAATATCACATAATCATTGAATCGAGATGTTTAAAAATTCACTGTTATATAGTTAATATTCAATATCAATAGCATCATAACATAAATTCATGTATCATATATTAATTTGTTATTTAGAACGCCTGATGACAATATCAATCACAAATCTAAATTTAATTATACGAAGTCGTTTTTACTAGAATTAATAAATGTCAGCTTTATTAAAATGTGTCGAAAAAAAAGTAAATACGCGAAATAAATCACCTAATAAATAATCATCACATTTTTCGAGTTATATTATCATAATTACGTACGAAACGATTATTTAAAAACAATTCTACTTGAAATTGACTTATTGATTATTATATTATTTTAAATTTTTTCTCAAAATTTTTCTATATTTCTTTTCTCTTTCTATTTTAATTTTCTCCTTTAAAGCAAGATCCTTTTTTTTTGTATTTTTGCTTTTTAATAAACAGATTCAAAAAAACATATAAATAAATTTGAATTTTGTTGGATTTTTAAATAAAAATTTTTAAATTTAATATAATTTTTGCTTTTTAATAAACAAACTTATAGTATATATAAATTGAATTTTGTTGGATTTTTAAATAAAAAATTTTAAATTTAACATCAAAATATTTCATGTAAATGATTAATAAATAATTATAAAAATTTGATGTACAAAATAATAATTTTTTTTAACATTTTGACAAGAAAAAATTTCTTGCATAAATCACACGTATATATCAATTACTTTTTTAAATCAAAAATTTATTAATGATTTTTTTTAACTTTCTCCCAATATTTTTTATTTGATAATATAAAATATTTCAACATATTATTTATAATACTAACAAGAGATCATATCAATTTAAAATCCATATTTTTCTAAAAACATAAAGAGTACTGTATTATTAATGATATTCTAAATAAATTTATTATTATATATTTAAAAAGAAAATACAGATTTCTAAATATTATAACTTTTGTTTAACAAAAAACAATAAAAATAATTTTAAAGGCAACACTTCAACAATACATTAATGAAGCTTAGGGATATTAATCTTTTAATAAGAGCAACAAGCCACATAGAGTAAATTTTTATTTATAAAATATATTTAATAGTAAAAGTAAACATATGAATACACGTAAGAAATATGCTCGAGTAATATCTACTATATACAAATTCTAATAAGATGAGTTTAAAAAAAAATTTTTTTTATCATCTCGAAAAAAAAACAAATTATATTTGATAATCTAAATATCTTTATCTTTACCAACAATTTTCCGATAATTAATTGAATACAGATAAACATCAATTGAAAATATTTTATTTGAAAAACATACGCCATACTGTATATTATAATAATAAGATTATACAACAAAATTATCAAAAATTTTTTTAAAAAAAAAATAAAAAACACATTTTGATTTATTCTTTTTTTATGCAATTCATTTTCTAGAATCAAACTTTAAAGAAAGCGGTTAAACCCATTTACATGTTATACAACACATTTGAAATTAGGATTAAATATATATAAATTAAAGGCTTTGTGTTTGATGATTATTTATTTTTAATGTGGTACGTGATTTTTGCGTTATTTTTTCGATAATTTAATCAAATACAGTATAATGCAGATTATTGAAGAGTATGTTTGGGGTATTGCAAAAAAAGAAAACAATAAAGATAATATAAGCAAATATATACAGTACTTGTATATACAGTACGGTGTGTGTGTGTGTGTGTCAAAGATAAATAAAACAAGCTTTGTTCAAAAAGGGCGATTGAAACCAAATGCGGTAGTAAATCCGGTTGGAAAGGTGTTACTGCGACATCGAAGATCTTATACTAGAGGTCTAATGAAAGAAAAAAATTGCACAACGTGTCCATGTGACTCTATGTATCACTTTCGTAATGACATAACAATATTGTTTTGTCATATTTTCATATACATATGCACATGTAAAACTGGAAAGCTGCCGAAACGCCGTGTGACAACGATGTACCACATTTAAATTTTTTACAGAAACGAATCCAATTTAGCATTAACTTTGTCGTATTATTGTGATTGTGGAAATATTATAATGGCAAAGACAGAGCGTACAACGTATGTACGTATACAACCGGATTTTTTATATTTGATCCGATACTAACCAGATAAATTGTTTCTATCCTTTTCTTTTTTCTTTTTCTTTATTTTCGTTTTTTTTTTTAAAAAAAATGTCGGATAGCGCAAAGGAGGGACAACAAGCAACCAAACCTTTTGTAAACTGGATAAATTTAGTCAATGTCTTGATCGAGGAAATTACGAAGAGCTATAGCAAGGTCGAGTATAACCGTAATACTTGCCTCATTTTGATCGATCGGGTTGACACCATCTCGCCTTCCATCAGAGCGTTACACAGACGTCGCGAAGAAAGCGAGTCGAAATTTCGAAACCAAAATTTTTACATTGCATTCATCAAGTTTCATCGAGTTTTGACAGATATCAAAGGATTCATTGGTGACATATCACAACTTATAGGTTATAAAAAATTCAAAGATAGTAATGAAGTAAAGGGAAAATTTCTTAATATAATAACGGAATTCGAGACATTATGCATAGAATTGGGATTTTCTAACAACGTTATTGTTACTGAGAAAGATCGCGAGAGGGAGATTCAAATCCTCAAGGAGGATTCCAATAATACGATAAAGGTAACACATGTCTTGCATGGACCATTAATGCATGCATATAGTATTCGATGATAATATCTATTGCTACTGTACACATAGATCTTAAAGAAAATGGAAGATGACATAACCATCAAAGAAAACGGCGAAGAGATTTCGCTTAACATGATCTATGAAGAAGTGTCGGAGTTACAGAAGAGAGCGGAAAAATTAGAAGGCAGTTTATTACACATCCCTCAAATATCACCAAACAAGTTGGAACCACCTTCACAAGGTAAACCATCAGACATTCGAGGAATGCTTTGCAAACGGATGCTTACGGATAGGTCTGTCATTCCTGTTGCGTGTAAACGAATGGACATTCCTTCCAGTCAATCACAAAGAATCAAGGCGCAATTGAGTATACTAAATCGGCTGCGATCGAATGACAAAATCATCAAGTTTTATGGAACTTCCACACTCAATGATCATGAAATCATGGTTTTAGAGTGGGCCGAACATGGAGATTTAAAAAAATTATACGAATCCGAAAAATTATCGTGGTCAACAAAACTTCAGTATGCTCATGATATATGTAAAGGTCTGGTATTTTTACAAGCATTGGGTATATTCCATCATGATATTCGCTGTGAAAACATTATGGTCAGTTAAAGCAAAACCTGTTGCCTAATTTAATAATACTGTACAGTACATCACTTTAATATCCCGAGCCATAATAATACTATTTAGTATTTAGATTGTTGAAGAAGAAAGACGCACGGCAAAGATTGCAAACTTTAACCTTAGCCGGGAGGTCACGGCTGAAACTTGCCTTATCCAAGATTTGGGTAAGATTGTCAGGTGGTTGGCTCCGGAAAAAATGGAAAAAGCTCGGCGAGTGCCTTACAACTTTAGATGTGAAATATTCAGGTAAAGAAGCTTTGGTATATATCTCTCTACGCATATATTCATCATATATTAATATTACATAATAGTTTCGGGATGCTGTTGTGGGAGCTCGCATATCAAAAGATACCCTATGAACAAATGGAGCTGGCCAAAATAATGGAACATGTTCTCGAAAAGAAAAGAGAAAAACTCGATTTCGATATCGACGAACATCAAGATATCATATACTTATTTTGTAATGCGATTGAACTATGTAAGATTATGTAATTTTAATAATTTCTCGGAACCTTTATGACCGATTCCTTGTTTATTTATTTATTTACTACTGTATTTTTTATAGCATGGAGTCACGAGCCAAACAAGCGACCACGTATAAATGATTTATTTCAAGAATTTTCGAGTTTGCTATACAGAGAAGATGATGGTATTGACGAATCCGAAATATATACGGACACTGATGCTGACGATATCTCGGAGGAATCTGATGAGATAATTCCTCTCGAAGAAGGAATTAAGGCACATCGTTCTAAAAATTATGAAAAAGCTTGGAAATGTTTTGAAAAACATGCGGCCCTTGGCGATCCAAAGGCAAAATATTGGTTAGGTTATTGTCTTTACGACGGAATTTATAAGCCCAAGGACCAAGAAAAGGCCGTGCAATTGTATAAGGAAGCGGCAGATGCTGGCGTCGCCGATGCTCAACTGCGTTATGCATTTGCCATGAAAAAAAAGGAAGAGGTATTTATGACATATTTGGTAAAGGCCGCAAATAACGGGAATTCAACGGCCCAATTCAACCTCGGTGATATCTATTTAAAAGGGTTATGCGGACTTTCCAAGGACAAGGAAAAAGGCCTTCTCTATTTTAGACTGGCTGCTCTAAAGAAACACCCATTAGCCATCAAACTACTTAAGCAATATAACATTGATGATATGAGCAGTCAATAGATCATCGATATTTCAATTATTATTGCATAAAATTGCATTATTTCATCTAAAATGCAATTTCTTCAGTTGAATGCTTTTTAATATTGTATGTAAATTTTGTATTTCTTATTATCACCGTTAAATATCTGTTTTATTGTGTATTTACTGTATATGATACTGTCTGATGAGAATTCACATATTTTTTATGTACAATCTTTTGCGAAAGATAAAAATTTTTTAACTTACAGTAGAAAATTCTACGGTCAATGATTACGCTGAAAATGAAGGATGCAAATATTTAATAGATAGGCATATAAAATTTCGATTTTAAAGTGTAAATGAATAAAAAAAAAGGCAATATTTTGTACGTCTTTATTTTTAGTTCTGATTAAAGACAGAATCACCACGAATTACTGTATTATGTATTTGTGATGCGCATTAGTTGACGAAATCAGATCCAATATAAATCAATAAAACTAGTCTTTACCATGTATATCGTAAATGTTTGAGCAAGATATTTCTGGCATCATTCCTCCACCGATAACATTTTTTACAAATCCATTCAATGACCTTGCGACCTTTGAACTCCCTCAATTTACAATGTAAGAACACAATCTTTTCGATATCTCCTCGGCTCGGTACGATCGTTTTCGGTTGAGATCTGACCCAATGTTTTGGGATGAGTTCGTGTGCTTCATGATACTTTATATGAAAACGGAACTTATTTAATACTTTATAAAAAATATTGGATCATAAGCAATGGTGTAATAAGGAAGATTCGAAATTAATAGAAAAATAATAAGTTTAATTCTTTTTATATTATACTATTTACGAATTTCGATCTTCATTATCCGAAATTGGAATTGCATAGACTCACATGAACTCGCATAAACTTGCGTGCATACAAAATGCATTAATGTTTACCTAATGCTGTGCTGTATTGGACGAACCAAATGTAATAAGGCCCAGGATTGTTAAGAATCTTACTTCTCACGCGCATTTCTATTTGCCTGCGTGAAATTTCGTGAGAATTTATCATGTCACTGTACAGTATACTGTAACAAATTCCAGTTTGATAATTGTCATGTGAGAAATGATCACGTTTGGAGAAAATTGCCCGCATTTTTATATAATATAATAAACTTATTAAAAACTTACGTTTCGGAATGAATAATTATAAATACAGTACAGTAAAATGAATATAAAAGAAGAGATCAGGATAGTGTTATACACAGTCCATCCTTAATATTATTATTTGAATTTTTTATGCACAAGTATTGCGATCGTAATGATTACATGCACAATACTTTTGCCGTGGTTGCTTATGAGGATACGGTGGTGAGTGCTTAGTTATCGATTACAATAGTCCCTAATCAAATTTACAATGTAGTTGCTATGTACTTACAGTATATGCAAAGATTTACATGAAAGACAGACAGATAAACAAAGCCGATTAATTTGGTTGCCCCCTCATTAGATATCGCATTCTGACATACAGCAGATTGTAAATATAGTACGTATTGAAAAATTTCAATATCCAATTTCAGATGCTTAATTATTAAATCAACTATCATGCTTTTCAAGTAAACTAATGGCTTCCGGATGATGCTTCAAAGCAGCGAGTCTGAGATATAACCGACCTTTTTCTGGGTCCTTTGGAATATTATATGACCCATTCAGGTGTATTTGCGCCATATCAAACAGAGCCAATTGATTACTACTATCTGCTGATTTTTTCAAATACTCAATGAATTGACTCTGGCGGTCTATGTTATCTTTTATGGCCATTGCGTAATGGTATTGTGCGTCAGCTTCACCAGCGTCAGCAGCCTCCTTAAACAGATTTGTGGCTTTTTCGGCATCCTTTGATCCGTGATATCCGTTCCACAAATAATAACCCTGCCAATATTTTGCTTTTGGATCCCCAAGAACGGCATGTTTCTCAAAACACATCCATGCCTTTTCGTGATCCTCGTGTTGATGCGCCTCGATGCCTTTTTCGAGCGGAAGTATTTCGTCAAATTGGTCACTTACAGGTGTGTCAGTGATTCTTGTTTCGTCATTTGGTTCAGAGTGATCACCTCTAAGTGTATTTGTGAATTTTTGAAACAATTCATTTATAGGCGGACGCGCATCCGGATCATGATTCCATGCTGTGAAAAAAGCGTTAGATAGAAATGTCAAGAGAGAACGGTCATTCATGTGATGTTAAATGACCTTACATTTTGAGATGGAATCCCGATAAACCTTTATAATTTGCTGATGCTCGTCGTAGTGATCAAAATTCAAAGTTTCTCTTTTTTCGGAGAGGATGTAATCTATTATTTCGTCCAACTCCTTCATCTCCAGATACGGTATCTTCTGAAACGCAAGCTCCCATAACAACATTCCAAAGCTAATAAGACATGAATTTTAGATAAAGCTTGAAAAAAAAGGAGATAATACATACATTAATTGATAATGTTTATGTTCATAATGTCTACCTGAATACTTCGCATTTAAATGTATAAGGTTCTTCTCGGGTTCTTTTCAATTTCTCCGGTGCCAACCATCTGACAATTGTGTACAAGTCTCGTACATTAGAGGTTTCCGCTGTAACCTCGCGGCTAAGAGAAAAATTTGAAATTTTTGCCGTGTAATTTGACCTTTCCCCGAAAACCTACAGTATGTAGAAAATACGTGATATTTTGAACTGACCAACGTCCATATCGTACCAATATTAGGTTCATTCAACCTAAAATATACATTCATCAAGAACCTACCATAATGTTTTCGCAGCGAATATCATGATGGAAAATATAACACGCCTGTAAGAATACCAAACCATTACAAATATCATGGGCAAGTTGAAGTTTCACTGGCCACGATAAATTTTCTCTCATATACAAATTCATTAGATCTCCTTGCTCGGCCCACTCTAAGACGATAATATCATGACCCTTCTGATTGGACATCCCGTGAAACTTAATAATTTTGTCGGAAGATTGTAATTTATTCAAAATACTTAATTGTTTCTTGATCTCGTGAGATCTACCATCAGGAATGACAATTTGTTTGCATGCCACTGGTACAACAGATCTTAGCATTCGTTTATAAACCTTTCCACGAGAATCCGATGTTCTTTCTTGTTCTGGGGGCTCTAATTCTGATGATGGTATCTGACGCACGTACAATAAATATCTTTCATCATCTTTTGTTTCCACCATTTTTCGCAATTCGATGACCTCCGCAAGTATCATGTTGATTGAGGTATCCACGCCTTGTCTAGTAGTAACACCACCTCCAACATTTTCTAAAAACTATTTAATTAAAAATCTTAGTTGACCTCAAATCAATAATCCGCATACAAAGTTAGGTTTCACCATACCTTTTTCATATTTCTCAGATCCTCCTCAACGTTTCGCATCTCTTCTTCTCGACGGTCCCCGTGAATAATATTACTGGGAAATTCCAATTCTTCGCAAAATCGTTCAAATTCAGAAATGATTTTTAAAAACCTCGCCTTCACTTCGTCGATATTTTTGAACTTTCGGTATCCTGTGAGTTGTGAGATGTCATTAATAAACTCCTTGATGTCTTTCAAAACCCGATGAAGCTTGATTAATGCATCGCGAAAATTTCTATTTTGAAATCTCGGTTCATCATTCTCGAGACGTCTATGTAACGCTCGCACACAAGGTGAGACGGCATCGACTCGATCGACCATAACAAGACAAATTTTACGATTATATTCGGCCTTGCCATAGCTGGTCACAATTTCGTCGACTAAACCAGAGACCAAATTAATCCAATTTGCAAATGTTGTAGAAACCTCAGTCCGAGCTTCTCGTGCTCCTGTCCTTCTAGGCCTCCTTGGCCATATTTTGGACCATATTCTACTAGTCATACTGGATTAACATAGGTAGATATAAGTGTTTATCTAATTTTCTGACAACGACAATTTATCGGAAGAAGGAACAGGAATCCGTCAGTGTAACGAATACTAACTATTCATACTTTTGTATACTTTGTATACGTATCGGTGCCACCACCATGTATTCTACCCGTGATTGATGCCTTCTTCTTTAAGAACAATCTTTATTTGAAAAGGAAAGCATAAGAAGTCAGGTGATTGAAAAAAGGAATACTGTAGTGTAGAAGAAAAATAATGATCTTAACATTAACCCGGATTTGGAATTACATTGTAAATTGATGATGCGCGCGTAGTTATGAAAATATCGAATCATTTCTCTTGTTTTAATTATCTCTTAAAATATAAAATTGTTTAAACAATAACATTATTTGCGTAATTCTCACGAAACCTATAGTTCTATACTATAATTGCAAAATCAGAAAAAAATCAATGAATTGCTAATTACCGCGTATAGCATATGATTCTTTTTAAAAAGATTTTATTGGATGCGATTTTTATATCATCTCTTTGACTGAAACTAATACAGTAAATATAAAGTATAGGAATTTAATTTAACCAAACGCCCATTATTTCCAAACTAAGACAAAGGGCAGTTATTGTATTGTACAAATTGATGTAACATTATGGAGAGCACAGACACACCCATACACTCTACTATATTTATTCAAACCTTGTACAGTACTTTGTTTTGCATAATAATTTATACTGTACGTACTCATCTTATTGTGTAATGACATCCATAATTTAATTTTTGTCATTTTCATTTAGCTTGTCTTCCATAAGTTTTATGATATGTTTTGCAGATCCGTAGCTCGTTTGAAAGCCTTTCAGGTTCGTACAGATCATATGATTTTTATGTTTGAAAAAAATTTTTTTTAACATAATAAAAAAAAACAAATGAGTAATAAAAAGTAAAAATCATTCATTACCTGCTCCGCCGTGACCATAGTTATGACATAAGAGAACATTCTTGTCAAATTTTTTGGAAGCTAAAATCATAGAAATAATTAAGATAATGGATACACTATATACATTATATATATTTTTACTCCTTGAAGTTATACACATACCTATCCATTCACAATCTAACCTTGCACCGCCTTCACGACAGGGTCGAAGTCCAACCCCATACCCCTTGATTGTTAGTTTGGATTGACCAGGTGGTAATAGATCAGGGCGAAGAGTAAGACATCGTTGGATAATCGCTTCGGATATTTCGTGATCAATCTCTGTTGTACTAATTTTTGATATGATATATAAAATTATTCTTAAAGTCAAAGTATAGATTTATTTATTTATTTCGATGTTATCTTACTAGTTATGTTGTTCCTGTAATTGGAGAAAAAAAATCATATCAGAAAATAAAAGAACGCGGTCGATAAAATGAAAGTGAGAATAATACTCACATAAGTCCCACCGAGAACTACTTCCCCACCATCACGCGCTATAGCATAAGTCATTTCTTTCGCAGAGGCTGTTTCGCGGTATTAACTATTAGAAACAAAAAAACGCACGTTGACCTTTAAAAAGATCAAAATCTTACCAGAACCCAATTTCTCGGCATTAAGTCCACAGGGCTGTCTTAAAAAGGCATAATTAATGTGTGGCGATTGCACAATTACAGTTTGTCCTCTAACAGCGTAGACATTTGGATCTTCTACGCCACCTAATGTTCTGGAATGAATTCCTGTGCAATTGATTATAATATCGGTATCGCTTTCTATACATTCATTTATGTGGGACACACTAGCATGTTGTGTGGTGCCTCCCAATGAGGTAAAGGTGTCCAGGAGATGGTTAAGATAGGTTTGCGGATTAAAAGAAACTTAAAAGAAAGAGTCGATCATCATTTCAATTGATTTTCTTTAATAGATGTAAGAAATTTGGCATGGAAATCTACCCGTTTTAAAAGTAAATCCGAGTTTGATGCCGTCAGGCAATTCCTCTCTTTTCAAATCTCGAAACTATTCCGTAATAAACAGATTTTTGTTATACGGAAATCGCGTTATTTCTCACATAAACACATTAGCTACCTCAGGACACAATGTCTTAAACCATGGCTCTGAAAAATCTTCTGATATGTGATCCCAATAGTCAAACCCGTCGATAATTCTAATTCCCGTTTTATTCTGAGGAGATCCGGCAAGCTTCCGAAAATGATTATAGGATTCTTTATCAATTTCTTTAGATAATAAACATTATCTTAGTAATAATAATAAATTTTCTGTTTTTATATTTGGTGATTTTTGATGTGCTCATATTAATACCTTGCTGTTTAATGTCGTCCTTTAAAGCATAGCTTCTCCAGTACGCACCGGACCTATAATGATAAAGTTTATTATAAAATTCTCACATGTATTAATGAATGCGTTCATTATTATATACCAAGGGCTTGTATATTCGTAAGATTGATCGCCAGGAAAATGTTTGGCAATTAAATGAACTTTATATTTTTTTTCCTGTTGTAAAAGTAAAGTGGCTGTAGATAATCCCGAGACACCTGCAAAAATGTTCAATGTATTATTATTAAGTGTCAAAAAATAATCCTTTTTCGTAATATTTTTCTTACCTGCACCCAATACGACAACTCGTTTAAGGGCCATCTTTTCAGAATTGCATTTTCACCTTAAAATCAAATATCATTTATATATGGTTCTATGCTTTTCGTGACACGTCTTTGTTGAAATCGTTAAACAGATAGATAGATTTAACAACTTTATTGTTCGCATAAGTAGATATGTGCGAAATGTTACACTATACGCAAAAAAAAATGTATACTCGATGTATAATCAAAAGGATCAATTCTTCAATCAGGTCCGTGGTAAGAATTCTTGTTTTTGATTTATGTGAAGGCACACTATGTAAAACCTTGATTTAAAAATATTTGCAAAATAGTGTAACCTAGACTTTACAATAAATGGCATCCAAAAAGAAAATCCGGAAATTTGCACACGCATGCAAATCAGTAATTCCCCTAGCAAAGAAATTTGGCTACCATACAGATAAAGTCATTATTGTTTGTGCAAATTGTTTCCTATTCAGAATATTTCCAAGAAATTAATATAACTAATTTCTAAACAAAATCAAACTCATAATGGAATGGTCTGACGAAACAAACACCACCCAATTTTATAAGTTTTTAAAATGATTACAGTATACGATAAAATTTAAAAATATACAGTAAGTACGGTAAAAAATATAATAAAAATATAAGTACGATAAAAATATACATATCACTATATAAAAATATAAATGTTATGAAATTAAATTTTTAATAAAAACATAAAATATCAATTATAAAATAAATATAATAATCAATGATTATAAATCATAAGCTCATAACCAATAACGATAAATGTATATAATACATAAGTATATACTGTAATTTAATTAAAAAATGTTTTTTTTTAAATTATGTTAAATTTTATTTTCTCTTTTATATTATATGATCAGTTACAAATAATTATTAATTGATTGATTTTATAATGTTCTGTTTTTAATTTTAAATAATAACAATTTAGTGTATTTAATAACAAATAAATATTTTTTTTTTATTTTTGTAATTATTATTATTATTATTTTACTTCAAATTAGGCTGCAAGCCATTTAATATATATCAAAAATAATATTAAGCAGTTATAAATATTTATTCAAATTATATATAATAAGACTTAAAAAAATAAAAAAGAAAAGAACAAGATGTTAAAAAAACTAATTATAATATAAAAAATGCCTAATAAGCATATTACTTTGGAATTTCTCTCTTATGAAGTACAATAACACTTTTTGAAAATCAAAATACAATCTAAGGTATATATTCCTTAAATTGTAATATAGACAAATTTGCTTGCATATTTAAAATTTTAATAAAATTTAAATATTAATTTTTATAACTTACTTATATTATAAAAAATATAGTTTAAAATATTTTTTATTAACTTTATTAACTAAAAAATAATTTTTTTTTTGGAAATTTTCAAAATAAATAACTTTCAACTTTGTGTTTAAAATTTTAATATAAAATTTATATAAAATTTAAAGTAAAAAAATTACTTTACTTTTAATACAAGTTAAAATTATTATAATTAAACCATTAAAATTATAATAATTAAAGTTATTTTTTGCAAATAATTCTACAGACCTAATTATAATTATATGAAAATTAATTTAAAAAATTTTTAAGTTTGTCTAAGATTAACTTTTATTAAAAATTTTTGCTTATAATTAAACTTTAAATTTTGAATAAATAAATAAAAAATAAATACTATAAATAGATATTGTATATATAATTAAAACTAATATTATATAAATCTTTAAAAAAATATTTAATTATTTAAAAAAATAAATAAAAATAAACTTTTTAATAAAAAAAATTTTAAATATTATAAAAAAATATCTTATATTTAAGAAATCGATATTTTATAAGATTTAAATTAAAATTATTAAATAGATAGTTTATAACTTTAATATATTTTCTCAAAGAAAATTTTTGATAACATAATTTGTATATTTTTAATTATTATTTAATTATTATTTTTAACTTTTTTTTTATTCCAATATATATTTATAAGAGTATTAATATAAAATTTAATATCTATTATTTTTTAAAAACAATATAATTTTATTTTTTTCTTTAAAAAATTTATTTTGTATTATCAAAGATCACAAAATATTTGATTATAATTCATATGCATAATTTAATAGATAATTAACATTGTGCATATATATAAAAGTTTATTGTAAAATCAATCAAAAAAGTAAAAAATATATATTAATTGGCAACTTTTTAAATACTTAGTCAAATTTAATAAAATATATATCATTCTAAAGCTCTCATCGCAGAGAATCAAATAAGAATAAAACCATTTAATTTTAATTCTTGATTATTGAATTAAAATTGGTTTAAAAAATATTAAAACAATTATAACTTAATAACCATGAATAAAAATTAAGTGGTTTTATTCCTATTCGATTCCCTGCGATGAGAGCTTTAGAATGGTATATATTTTGTTAAATTTGACTGGATACTTAAAAAGTTGCCAATTGATATATTTTTTTTACTTTTTTAATTGATTTATAATAAACTTTTTATACTGTTGGACCAAAAAACAGCAAGTTGGTCACTTTACCAGTCCAAAGTAAGTGTAATTAAAAGCATGTCAAGGCATGTAAGACTGATTTGATCAGGTTCTTTTTTATTTAACAAGCTTTCTTTTTTTTTCCAGTACTAATTCTTTTCTTAATAACTTTAAATATATCTTAAAATGGTAATTTTTTTTTCTAAATGGTGTACTTGAAAAGATAAGTTTATTAATTTAAATATTTCTTTTTGAACATTTCAATTTTACTAATTATTTTATTTATTATTAATTGCACCATCTCTCTTTTTTTATCTTTTTTACAATAGTATTATTATTTATATTAACAATACAAGAAAAAACAATTAAAGGAAAATAAATTATTAGAACTAAATAGATTATTATATAAGTTATTTAGGCTTTTATAATTATATTTTCTATACTAATTATTAAGGTTATTTCACTATTTCCAAGATACACAATATAATAATCATGATATATAACTATAGTATATAACTTTTATTAGGTTAATAATATACTGTATATATAGTATATGATATCAATCATTTTTTAAATTGGGTATACAGATTCAAATCAGATATTTCATGATTCTTACACACTATAATTTTTTAATAATCTTTTGAAATAAAACAAATAGATTTGTAATTCTTATATTATTACCTTATTATATTATAAAAAAATTAAAAGATTGTTTTGTTTAAAAAAATTTTTTTCCAAATATTAATATATTTAAATCTTTATCTAATATGTTTGCCTATAAGCCTTAATAAATATTAAAATCTTTTTAAAAGAATTATTTTTATATTTGGCATTTATTAAATATTAAATTATTTTATAAAAAATCTTAATTTATTTTTTTATTAATTTTATAATTATAAATTTTTTAAAATCAAAAGGTTATTATAAATATATTGATTAATTGCTTATATTATAGATTTAATAAGCTTTTTTAATTATTGTTGCTTTTTATATAAGATTTATACTTGTATTTTAATTTTTGCTATTATTACAAATTGTTTTGATGAAAATCTTTATTATTAAATATAATATATATTTTCTTATTTTAATAGTACAAAAAACTTTATATGAATTTTTTTTTTAGCAATTAATATTTTATTATGTTTTAAAAGTAAGCTGAAATATATTAAAATATATATAGTTAGAAAAAAATAATTTTAATTTTTATTATTATAATGAATAAAATATAATTTATTGTCAAATTAATATAGAAACATGTTATATTAATTTTGATTATATAAAAAAATGGGCAGTTTTTTTTGTTTCTTATTATGTATAAATATATTAAATATAATAATTAACTTATATAATAATTATAAAATAATAACTATTATATTATTATTATTACTTGTAATTATTAATTAAATTAATATATTAAAATTAAATTTTATAAGAATTATATAACTAATGACAATGTTTTATTTATTGCTTAATATATAAGTACTCTTATATCTATTATAAAAGGATAAAAAAAAAATTAATTATAATATAATATAATAATTCAATTATATTGAAATATAATTAAAGCTTGAAAACCTTTTATTATTTTTAGAATTTATAATATTTTTTATATTTTTTAAGATTTGTTTATTAGATATAAAAATAGAAAAATTGTTTAAAGTAAGTAACAAAAACAAAAACAATATATTTTTAATTGTGAATTGCTTAACATATTTACTTATCTTATAACATTAAAATACTTTTTTAAATATAAAATAAATAACAATTATAATATAGTAACAAACTTATTAATTTTATTTCTCACAATATAATTATAAATATACAATAATTCTTGAAAACGATTATATTTTATAATTGATTTGTAATAATATTTTTATATGAAACACTTAATTTTACTATATAAATTTACTTTGATCAATTAAGTAAATATATTTTTAATAATAAATTCTATATTCAATAAAACTTTTACTAAATTGAATAAAGGTTTATTATTTATCTAACAAATTATATTTATTTAAAATTATATCATTAAAGTCAATTTACATAATAACTTTTACAAAGAATACTAACTATAAATTGATGATAATAATTTTGAAATTTAACTTTTGTTAATAACAATTTTATTTATTCATTAGTTTTTTAAATATTTAAAATAAATTTATAAAATTCAATGCGCAAGTAATTTAAACATAATAAACAAGTTTTATTAATTATATATTATTTGTTAAAACACTAGTTTTAGAAATAATTTAATGTTAAAATCAAAATCAAAAAAAAATCATCACATAAAATGTAAACTGTAAATATTAATAGTAAAATGTTAAAAATTAGCGAAATCTTTACAGCATAGATTTAGTTGTCTAGATTATGCTAAATACGCGAAATTAGATATGGTTAATTGTCCGAAGGACACTAATGTACAGCAATAGTGATCCGGATGTGTGTGTACCTTCCGGTCACGTGATAAACAAGAATATTAATTTAACGGAGTTTTTTATTATACAGTATAACTCTTTTACAGTTAATGCAATTAATGTCCTTAGAGTTAGACTTTTGGGTCACGATTCCATGGTATATTTTCGCATCACGATAAAAATCTTTGGCATGATAGTGATCGATAGTTATGGTAGTGTGATGAGTGTGGGAAACTATACGATCTTGTATTTACTGATTTACGTAAATGAAAGAGAATGAAGGGGGAAGCAAGGAATGTATAAATATTGGATGTTGTTGCATGTGTTAGCAATAGTCCTTCGGACTTTAGATGGTTTCCATTCACCTAGTATGTAATAACTTTTACGTTTAAAAAAATTTTCAGATTTTCTCGAAAACCCTGTGTATAAGATTTTGATTATCGATAGATGAATAATTTTTACATGTGACACCAAGTTGGTTGTAGGATTAGAGTAATCGTGCATTTAATTTTACAAATCATTTATGTCGATCAGAACATTCGGTACATTCGGTTGTGTATTCGGTTATGTAGTTTATCCTATAAAGTCACCAATCGGTATGCATTTTCCGTTGCTAGCGTCATTTAATAATGAACACCGGATCCGAATAGGAAATTGTAAACTTATAGTGCAATTATTTTACCATCACTCTTTTAAGTATGCGATTAAGTAATGTGACCAAATATTAAAAAAAAGGTTTGTAATCGCAGCGAAAACTCGATCGCTAATGCGCCTATATATACAGTGCACATTCGTATGAGTACAGTACCATTTAAAAGTAAACATGGAAATTTATAAAGTCTCTTTTGGGGTTTACGAATTGTTTATGTTAAGTTCAACATTGCTTACCATAAGCATAATTAATTATTATTACAGATATTATACAAGGAAAAATCCACTTCCTGCACCTTTCCCGCTTCCCTTCGTTGGTCATCTCTTTGATGATTCTATCTATAGTAATAACTTTTGCGATCACCTCCAACTATTGCATTCCAAATATGGAGACATTTACGAACAGTGGTATGGAAGAATACGTATAATTTTTGTTACCAAGCCAGAATATGTGGAAAAACTTTTGTCTGCATCAACCAAAAGTAAATACCTGATAAGAGTTTCGAATCCTGAAGGCTTAAAAGATTTGGGAGTTTATGGAAGGGGTCTTCTTTTAAACAATGATGTTAATAGTTGGAAATACAATAGACAATTCCTTAGCCAAGCAATATTAACGTCAAATTTCTTGAAAGAATCTGTTGACTGCACACAAGCGATATTTAATGAGATGGAGGAATACTGGAGAGTTGGGTTGGAGGATAATACGGTTACCGATTTTACCGAATGGTCCCATAGTCTCACTACGGATATAATATTCAAATTGATTACCGGAAAGAAAATGTGGACCGTCGCTTCATACTTCTTGAACGTTTCACCTAAACTCAAACTAATGAAAATGAAAAAATTTGATGAAAAAATTATTAATGAGTCTTCGAAAATATCAAAAGCTTTCCAAAGATATATTGCAGGATTAGATTTCTTCCTATATACTCCTGGGTGGGTGAGAAATTATATTCCCAGTTTTCGGGCAACCCAAAGAGAAATCTTTGAAGCACAGAGGTTATTGTATGAAAATTTGGGCAAAATTATTCAAGAAAGAAGAAAGGAAATTGAAAATACACCAAAAGACGAGAAATTGAGATATGATATGTTAACACAATTGGTTACAGCAAATACGGACAGAAGCATTTCGGATATAAATAATAATCAAGAATTTACGAAACCTTTATCCGATGAAGACATACGTGATATTGTTATAGAAGCCTTAGGAGGAGGAATTGATACAGTAAGTATTGTTAATACAATATATTAGTAATATTGCTCTTCACCACCGATATCACTTGATTATAAAATATAGTCAAATCACTCACTTTTTTTATAATTTAATTTTTTTTTTTTTTTGTAGACCGCAAATGTATTGTGCTTTGTTATCTATTATCTCGCCCATCATCCAGATGTTAAAAATCGAATGATTCAAGAAATCGACGAATTATTTAGCCAAAACCAAAACAGACCGATCACGTATGATGATTTACCACAGTTGATCTACTGCGAAGCAGTGATCAAAGAGGTGTCACGTGTAATGCCCACGACACCATTCGTTGGCCGTGTCAGCTCTGAACCGGATCGAATAGATAATGTTGAATGGGAAGCTAATACACGTTATATGATTTTTACACCAGTAATTCATTCAAACAAGAATTATTGGAATGAACCGGAAAAATTTGATGTCAATAGATTCATCGATGTCGATGAACAAAAAAAGCACAGCGAAAAGAATCATTTGATTATGTGGGGCGGTGGTTTAAGGCAGTGCCCCGGTAGAAAACTAGCAATGATCGAATTGAAGTGCATGTTGGCTTTAACATTTAGAAATTGGGATGTCGAACTAGCAGATATGGATTCTCCATTAAAATCTGAAATTTCAATCGTTCGAAGTGCCAAAGACTTGAAGGTCAAGATCAAACCTAGAAATAACAAAATGAAAAATACATAATTACCTTAACATACATTTATATACTTCCTAGTGTTATTAAAATATAGACTAGGTAGAAAAGGTTATAAAAAATATTTATTGTGTCAATAGTAACAGCAACTTCCGCGTTTTATTGTCCGTACCATAATATTTTTTTAGTTTCCCTCTACGCAAAATACTAATGAAACCCAATTTTTTAAAGGTTTAAATTGGAAAACTACAAATTATATAGTATACATAGCGAGTATAGCGTTCATTAGTCTACATAACTTATCATGATCATATTGATTTATGTCGTCAATGTCTTTATCTTGGTTACCTTGTTAATCTCATTTATCCTTTTATAATTATTAACATATACTGTATATAAGCCATTGAGCAAAGCGAATAAAAAGAATTAAAAAACTTTACTTTAATATGATATTTTCCCTACTGTATGTCCTTTGTACCCTCAGTACAGTTTTATTGATGAAAATTTGTTGTATGACTAATAATAAATTCTTTTGGTTTTACTCGCAGGAAACACACCATAGTTTCATCTGTATTTATTATATTATTATCAAGAATTGTGAGAGTTGACACGTGACATGGTCACTATTTCGCAGAATTAAGTAAAAAATGGGCAACATTCATATGCTTTGCCATAGTTGTTAAACTTATCATTGCATGTTTATTTTAACTCTACTATTATGCGCATTAAAGAATACAAGATTCAGAAATAAAAACAAAGAACTCTCATGTCATATATAAATTATGATGTGATGATCAAATTTTACAATAAACAATAGACGAGTATAAATTTTTTTTTTTTTTTTTTAGAAAATTTACAAAAATTACAATAATTTTTATTAAAAAAAATATTATTTAAAATATGTTTATATATTTAATACATTGTAAGATTTTCTTTAGAATTTTTAATAGCCTCAAAATGATGAGACATACTTTTACAAAATTATAATAAATAAGATTAATTTTTGACCCTTCTCTTACAAAAATTCAAATAATTATGTTTCACTAGTTGACAAGGGATTATGCTATTACAGGGAAACGATGATCGATGATATGGCTTAGAAATTGAAAAAACGACAATCGCATATTATAGAGTTTGCCAAAATGGGTAATTGATCCTCAACCTTGTTATTTCTTTTATTTTCTTTATTTCTTTTATTTCTTTTATTTCCTTTTGCTGTAAGAAAAAGTATAAAAACAATGTAAGGAAATATAATAGAAAGGAAGTGGAAAAATTAGTCAATAAAAAAGTGTTAAAATCAACCTACTTATCACACTGTTCTGATCAATAAAATCTCCCAAATCATACAAACTCATCAAATTTACACCTCTTTCTGCCTTTAATCCCCCTGTTATAACAGATACTCCTGTTGAAGTATCATGAAGTCTAGGATTTTGCCATTACTGCTGATAGACTCCTGACCCGCAACAATGCCTATGGATCCAATACTCTAACTCATCCCAAAAATGTTCAATAGAACTGAGATCAGAGCTTTGGGCAGGTCATAAAAGGCAAAAGATATTTTTTTCTCAATTTATTTTTTTACATTTTTTGTTCAATGAATTAAGCAATTATTATCTCAAAAAATATAACTATTTTGGGTATTAAGACGTTTTAAATATAATAATAAATAATTATCAAGAATATTAATATAGTCAGTTGCTTTTTGTTATCCATTAATTCTAATCAATAGATCTAAGCCACTTATGATAAAACAATCTTATACTTAAGGATGGGTCCCTAAATTATTTAGCATATAAAATTTTGCAGATTAATTATGTCTCTTTTAAAAAGACATAATTATTTACTCATTACTTTAATAGGAACATAATTCAAAAAACATTTGAATCAAATATCCTAAATTGCAAAAAACTTTTATAGGTAGTTTTTTTTTAATCTTATATTTAAAAAAAATTTTTTTAATAGTGAGAGATATTTAAATTATGTCTTTGCCTTTAATTTAAGAACCCATCTT